ATATATTGCACGGAATAACATAAATAACCTGGAAATAGTCATATAAATGGGCTAAACGAGTTCAGAAGTGCCGAAAATAAGCAAGCTTTTTGATAATAAACAACGAGCTGAGAGGTAATACGAAGGCGCGTTCAAGTCTGTTTATGCATTTATTCTCATCTGCGGTCATGAGCACTGAATACTGGTTGAAGTGGAATCCCATATCCATGGGAAAGAAATGAGGATATTCTGAAGAAACAATGGTAGGACTTGACAGGACAGTATGATACATCTCGATTGTATTCCATTCCTTCAACAGATCAAGAGCTCATATATGTTGGCTTTCTCACGTCGGAACCGCCAACTGGCCGTAGACGCATTGGAGGGCAATGCAAAGCATGGAAACTCAACCTGATGACGACGAGGAATACGAACTTCACCGCATCACTGAAGGTTCCTAATATCAATCTGTGATTCCATTTCTAAAGATCACAGATCATAAATCTGGTTATTGCTGTTTAAGCTGTACTAGTGTTTGATGATAATAAAAAGACAACATCAGCTGTGTCTGTTCGAACGTGTCATCAAGAAGCTAAGTCACATGGCAGGCGACCAAAATGGAGGCCGAGGGCCAAATACTTCCAGCATTTTGAACTTTAGCTGTGCCCTGGAATTGAGTCCGAGCAACTTGGCTGATGAAGGAGTATTGCAAACATTTCTCGAAATGAATGCTCTCGCAACCCTAAAAGAGTAAAGTTGCAAAACCAAGTATAACCGAGACTGATGAGCAATCCGAAAGAAAAACGTTGACATTAATGTGGCAGAGCCCGACCAAATACTAAAGTAAGACATCGCGTACTCGAGCGTAGTGCACCTGAAAATTTTTCCCCATAGTTGCTAGGCTAACTATGAAGGCCTATCATGAAGCATTAAATATGATAAACAAAAAACTTTGTAGCACGTCAGTAATCTTAAATTTATATGACAAATCTGAAACAGCTTCAACCAAAACAAAAATTTTTAATTTTTGTTTTAATTTACAGACACTTACGCAGGCGATCAAAAAATAGACATAAAACCAGACTGCTGGAATGAAGCCAATGTTTAACATTGTTTTAATTTAAAACTTGTCGCAAAAAACGGTGAAATGAGATCTTTCAAAACCCTGAACCAGCTTCCTTCAAAAATCGAAACGAATAACCAGCACTTAAGGTAGAAAGACGACAAACGCCAGTGTTAATCAAAACACGAATGTTACGAACCGTGTTCACAGTGCACCAGCATCACGAGAAAATAATAAGTTTGGCTTAATTCACAATCACAGTTCAAAAAGTACAGGCTAAAGCTTTAGCATATGTATGGTTCAAGAAGAAATATTACATCATAACCTTTTTAACTATTACATTTATTTATATTTATGGTGTGCATCTTAATGCAAATTTTTAGTGAGCTATGAGCTGCGAAAAAGGAGAACTGCAGCCGGAAGGAGCACGCAACACCGCATGACGGAATCTCCCACGGTCAAACACGACCAACACTCCAGAACATCATGCTGTCTCCACTGTTCACAGGTCATCAACTTGATGCCCCTTTCTCACGTGGTTGCGCCAAAAAAATTTTACAGTGAATTCGTTGCAAAAGAGAATTACCAGTCAAAAAGAAAATTTTATGCAACGCAAGGGATTCGAAACTGGAACTTCTAACGTCATGGTCTAAATACAACCCCGGCACCATTGTCCATTTCATTTTGACCTTTTTTCTCGATATTAAATTTTAGGTTATATGATGTTTATGCATATTGAGGTTAAACTGAATACTTTTGTTCGGCAGGCATGTTTCGCGCTCAGGCGAGTGTCACGGCGATTCGGCTCACATTGAAAAACGGTGTGTCTTTCACCGGCCTCTGTACAGTCTTCTACTAGGCAATAAGCTGTGAACTCGTCTGGGAAACCGCGACGTCGAACAAACCATGGGTCTACCGCTTGGATTATTAAACACTCCACTTAACGCTTGTCAGTCTCAGGCCGGGAACCATCAAACCCGGATACGTATCGTTTAGACATGAAATAATGATCTAAAACCGCAGGCAGTACATCTCCTTACGTTGCACAGACCCCGCAGCAAGACAAGCGGGAAAGAAATGTCATTCTGACTGGAACATGACAACACTTTTTCATTTCTTTATTTGAAAATAGTTTTGCACACGTCTTTAATGACATGCACAGTCCATCATTATAAAAAATGTTTGCTTGTTGTGTCCTTTTTATAACATCCAAGATAAGGTTAAATAAAGACGTATGACAATTAATGGGTAGGAAAATTTAGCGATTTAAGCTTTCTTAAACACCACTGTACTTTAAATCTGCCAACAGCTGCAATAAATCATCGGTCACGGACAACTTTTCAAACTTTAACGCAAGAAAAACATTAAACATTACAGACACCACAAAACTGTGCAAACAAAAAAGCATACTTGAGTCGCTTCCCTTTATCTGATAGCCTGCAGTACGTGAGAGTTCCGGTTTTGAAAACTTTCTAAAATATCATGGTACAATAGAGGAATTTTTAGTATTAAAAACAAGGGTAAAACAAATTCGACGGAAGATGCTCAAAACTCTATGGATGAACCCGCCCAATATGTTTCTCATTCTTTCATTTATTAATATTTTTTGCAACACAGGGCTGTCCAGCTTCTGTCAAAAACAAACACTGCATAGTTTCCTTCCATTTTCTGCAAAAAAACATTGTATAGCCTCATTTAACCAATCTACGGACAAGAGGGTTTTCTAGTGCATAACAGAGTCATGGTAAATTACATCAAGAAATCTGCATATGAACCATATTCATTACGCTAAATGCAGGATTTCGTTATATATTTAATCACTCTATAGAAACAGAATAAGGAGACACAGAGCGCCGGAAGAGAGTAAGCGCTGAAAATGAAAAACATCAAACAAATTCACCTGTGATTCAGCTGAGAAGCCAGCGCTGTTCAGCAGCATTTCAGAAAACTGCATCTTGTCAGCTTTCTGCGGACCCTTTTGATTATACGACTGAATCCGAAGCAAGCTGACGTCCCCAGCAACCGGTGTGCTTTCGACTTCCACTGGTCCGTTGCATTCGGTGAGCGAAGAATCGATGAAACTACTTCCGATCAATTGCAGATCAAAAGCAGAATCAGCGTTTTGTTCGGCCGAGGTGTCCGGTAAGCCAAAATAGGTCTCAGCCCCTGGTTGATTAACTAAACTCAGTCCAACAACACCTGAATCAGTGGAAGTACCTGAGATACTCTGAAAAAGAACCTGCATTTGAAAAGTGACCACAGACCAAGCCGAGGACAGTTAAGGACAGAATTTATCTGATAGCTTACTTTGTTAAGGCTCAGTTTATCCTCAGAATCGCGTTGAGCGTTTTCGGTTACCGAAGGGTACTCGATGAATGTCTTCAAGTACGTAGATACATGTTTGATCGTCAGAGACAGAGAATAATCATACGTACCGATGACCTTGGCGGCTTCCACGTGCACTTGTGGGTCAGGGGATGATAGAAGAAATGTCGGCCACTTCGATCGACCCTTTCTTCCCAGCCATCGTCCAGGTATCTGATCGGTTCTTCGAACGAATCAATCACCGGTAAAGAATTCACATAGCATTGAACGTTGGCGTATATTGGGGAAGTACCATCGGTCTAAAGTTCAGTCGTACAACAACTGGTCCAAACTAACAGTCCCAAATTAGAAAGCAACAGAAGGTAGTTAAACATATTAGAGAAGCAAAGAGGAAGCGAAAATTACCCATATTTTCATTAAGAACGGAAGGAAGAAAGAAGGAGGTTTGAAAGTTCTCGTTTTTCATAAATCTAACAGAACTCATAGACAAGGATTTTAACCATGACTTTCCCATTAATAGGAAAGTTTGCAACGTTTTGAATATTAGTCTCATTTACACATATAAGACTCGACGTCAATATGGGCATCCTTCCTTCATGGTGCCTATGGTGCAATGCTATGCTAATCAGCTTTTAGTCATCGGCCAGAAATGCCTTGCTGATGTTTTTCAAGACTTTAGGCGCTCTTAAGTACATGAGCACTGTGGCGAGTAGTCTCCTGTCTGTTATCATTAAATAATGATCCTTCATGTACCTCACAGGCGAAAGATGACATAGAAGCATGGAAAGACCTGAGGCAAGAAGACATAGTTTGGCTCTGTACAGTATGGAATAAAAGCATGGAATCTGAAAATAAGCGGGAATCAAGGAAGCAAAGTATTTTTATGCTAATGCACAAAATTAAAGATTTTCTCGCCTGCGAAAACTATTGGGGAATTAAATTGCTCAGCGACGCTATAAAGCTATATGAAATGGTACTGGATAAAAGACCGAGAAAGGAGGGCGATATTATCTTGAACCAATTTGACTTTATGCCAGATCGGTCAACCGCGGTTGCCATCATTGTTTGAAGATCAGTCCTCGAAACATACAACGAAGGAAGCAACGACATTGACACGGTGTTCTTACACCTGGAGAAAGCTTCTGATCGAACTCCGAGGCAGACCATTTAGTGTAGCATGAGAAAGAAGGTAGTGGCACAAAAATGTCAGGTTTACCAAAGACATTACAACGATGGTTCAAAGAACACGATTCAAAGAAAGGAAGAATTCACTGTGTGAGCAGAAATTCATCAAGATTCAGCTCTGAGCCAATTTCGATCTTGATCGTGACGAACGCAATAAGATCAGCCTTCGGCTCAACAAAGGCAAGTCAGAATATACTGCGGGCTATTTCAATGAGAGAAAACAGATTGAAAGCTGTGAAACTAGTGAAAGTAGCGGGAAACGTGCTGCCTTAAATTCAACAATTCAACTCTCTTGGTTCCATCGTGCAATATAATGCGGAAATCAGCATGTAGATAAGAAATCGGTCGAAAAAGCTTGGCTCAAATGGAGAGAAGTGAGCGGAGTACTGTGGGACAAGAAGATGTCTATCAAACTAAACTAAACGGACATTGCACAGAACGACAGTAAGACCGGTGTTTCTGTGTAGAATGGAACGTTTGGCTGCCCTGAAGAGACACGAGCAATAGCTGAACTCGATAGAAATGCTAATGTTCAGACAGAAGAGTAGCGTCAGCCAAAAAAGGCAGATCCGAACCAACTTAGTTCGATGTATTTTATAAGTAGCACCAATTTCAGAGGAGCTGATCGAAAGTAGGCTTCGTGGTATAAACTAATACTGCCACGAAAACAAAGAAGGGGAAAACTAAACAGGCAGCGCAATATCATCAAGAACGACAACAAACTGCGAGGAGCCAACGAAGCTTTAATAAAAAAACCGAAAAATGTGGAGGCAGTTGACTCGAACAGTGGATCCCTATTAAACGGAACAAGTCAAGAAAAACAGGAAAGAATATAACAACCGGGTTTCGAACCTAAGACATCTTGACTGCGAGTATGAAAATCAAGCGGCTGAGCGAGCCTAACAATGATGTACGAGCGTCTGCCGTAGTAACCTCACGAGTTCAGATTTTGACTGAAGAGTGAGATGAGAAATAAAAACGAAAAAGATGCATCTTAGAAGGACTGCTGGAGCGACGAGGTTCAAAAAGCACGAAACATGAAAATCCGTCACCCCCTCCCCCGTGTAAGCTACTCCTTCCCTAAATCGAAAGACTGCGAATGCAATGGCTCTGACATATAATCAGGATGCTAGAAGAGAAACTCATAAGGCACACTCTATTGGCAAAGCTATAAGGACGGAGTCCAAGAAAAAGGTCAAGAACCAGAGAGCTCAAGTATACGAACAGTTAGCATTGTTACATCTCAGAATCGAACTCACAGACGCGACCAGATTGGGTGGTGAGTCGGATCTTAGACAACTGGAAAAAAAACTTGAAAGGGTAGCCTCCGCAACCCAAAACAGAATGTGTGCCTTCAAAATGGACGAACTAAGTTAAGAACCAAAGACCGCAGAAACGCTTTTCATGAACTTCAAGTTCCGTTTCTTCTTCAGCGCTGGCGGCGGATCCGTGAAGCAGTTGATGGCTAGAACCCATGCTGAAAAAGGTGCTCAATTTGAACGATACGGTGGTGATTTGGCTCGCTTTGATTAAGGGGCAAACGAATGGTGCCTTCGACCGTCACTGACAACTAGATTGTCATCCTTGTACATTTCGTTGGCTAAATCCCGGCTAAAGCTAATAAGCAGTGGCGGGTTCCTGAAGCAGTTTGGAACGACAAAGTACTAATTTAATCAGAGTAATGAGTAAAACGAGACAAAGGACATGAACAGCGCACATGCTAAAATGTAATGGAAGCACTGCCTGCTAAAATAACTCTATAAACATATATGAACAAAAAAGGGTACCATAATGCCGTGTAAATAGGTTGATGCAATTACGCCAATTACCGTACAAACAGAACTTTTAGACAGATGGGTAGATGGACAGGCACACAGGCAAAAATAAAGATGCATATATGTATGCCGTATATATGTACGCATAGACAGACAGACTGGCTAATAACTACTAAAGAGAAAGATACACAGATACCTGAACATCCTGAAACTGGTTCGCTGCTCGTTGGAATGCATTACTGTACTCCGGAAGACTGCTGGTGGGGGAATACTCGGGCAGCTGTTTGGCCAGAGGTTCATCGGTCGCAATAACGGCGGGGGGTAAAAGCGGTTCTTGTACAGCGGCCGAACAGCTGGCGTTGTTAGCCAAGCGGAGGCGGGCGGCTGCTGCGTCCTCGGGGATGAGGGGAAGAAGGTTGAGGTTGACAGGGATGCTGTTTGACAAGCGTCCGTTGACGCTGGTCAACGGCCTGAAATGTACAAGCGCCGTTGGTACCCTGCCCGAAGCCGGTAGCAGCCAGTCCTGACCACTCCGTTGGTTGCGACGACCGACGACGGGTACAGGCACGTACGCGTTCTGGCGCCACATGCTCGATGAGCTGAAGCGGTTGTTACTGGACGAACCGGTAGCGGTTGAGGTCACTTGCTTGACGAATGTGCGAGGAAGATAGAAACCGTCGCTCGCCGTAGGCGTCTTGGTCACGTAGCACCAGTCGTCGTCATCGTCATTCACCAGGTAGTACTGCTCGCCCGGCTGTACATTGACGATGTGGCCCCTGGTCGTGTTCGACTCGAAATGATAAAGAACTTCCACCAGGCCACTGCTGTTGCACTTGGCCATGATCATTTGTGACGCGCTCGTTCTGTAGCTCATGCACCTCCTCGGATAGCTAACAATGAGCAGCATACGCTTATGAGGCAAGGCATTGAATGCAACCGCGCTAGGTGTCGGTGTCGAACGTCAAAGTCCAAGGAACTCGCTTAAATAAAATCTAAAAATGAGAATATTTAATCAAATAGTCTATCTCAAGCAGAGGCCTAATGATCTATGAAGGAGAGTTCGAAGAAAACACCCGGAATTCTACGCAGACAAGAAAATAGCTCGCCGAAAAAGCTTTACGATTAGTAGCTGTTTCTATTAATTACTAGTTCATTTCAATACAGTTCATTAATAATAAAGTCAATTAAACTAATTAAATGACCTTCTTGTGGGACTCTAGAAGAAAGGGATCAGCGCATGATATGGGCCAAGATACGCATATCCGCATTATAAACAGTACGTAACAAACGCAGCGAAAGTAGCTGATAGAAAATGTCAGTGCGGTCCCAAGGAGAACAGATCGGTACCCAGCATATCAATAATCAATCTCAAAGCGTAAAATTTGATCACCTATGTTGAACAAAACAACGATAAAAATAGTCATCAACAACAGCAGAGCAACACTACAAATGCTGGGGGCCAGGTCCATTGAGTGGTATGAGTTACAATGACTAACTGAACTTCCGGGAGAAGAGTCCAAAGGGCAAGATTTTCACGGCGTTGAGTGTATATTTTGCTTTTAGCATGCCATTACTGGTGAATATGTCAAGTTGATAAAAATAGCAGTTGGAAGAGTGAGTCAACCTGAATGACTCACTGACTGACCGGCCGAGATAGCAGTCGACTGGCTGAAAGACGGACTGATTAACTGGCTGACAGACAGAATGATTGAAAGAATGAACAAAAGAGAAAGAGCAACTGACTGACCAACAGAATGAACAGCCAATAGTGAGTGATAGACTGAATGAGCGACTGACAATGGATTGACTGAGAGATACAATATGACAAGTAAAGTGATAGCTTTGAGGTTCAATGCGATCATATGCGAGCAGGAATTACTCCGGATGACATTAAATCGAGCAAGAACACCAGAAATTATTTTAGTGGTATAACATGACCGACCAAACCCCATGGCAAACTCATGTATCTGTTTGCTTTACCTCACTATTTCGAGATTTGTCGAAATTTATTTTCAAATAAAGAACGAGAATGCTGGATCATTAGGAAGAGTGAGTGCAGAAACAACGAATCGTTCTTGCAAAATCATGCACTCGACAGTCATTTCTGAAACAAAAACAGAATAAAATCTATAACATGCACTAAAGACAATCTCAGAATATATACAGACATTAAGACACTAGGAACACTTGGGCCGTAAAATATGAAACGAAATTTGGTCTGGAATGAATTGTGTCGTTTATGCCTAGAATGCCAAAATATCATACAGCGACAGTCTGCTTAAAATGTCTATCTACTCGTTAGAATCGAAGGAGCAGTGCTACTACATCGTAAAAATTAGGGTGTGTTGACACAGTTGTCTAAGAGGCCTGCTTTGAACACAGGAGGTGCAGAACACGATTCCGCTCGAGGATCATCACTGTCTTATTAACGAATTCCCTTGAGCAAGGAATTTACCACAAAACGTTTCCGACCAAGGCTGCTCAGACGATAGAGCGTCGAACTCAGAATCGACAGGTCGCGAGTTCAAGCCCCGGCCAGGTGCACTTGTCCATCTTTCTTCCGAGGTTGATAAATGAGTATTAATCCGTGGGAAGGAAACAAGAGACTACACGCTCTGACTGCACATGGCTCTAGATTCTGCCTGTAACATAAGGCAATCCTGAACGATGGCAAGAAACGGAGATAGCACCGCACCATCAACTTCAACTTAAAAAATCAGAACAAGTAGAGCGTGGATGATAATACGTAGGCTTCTGCAGCTTTGTGGGGACTACAGCAACTTTTCAGATAAGACGGCATTTAAGAGTTAGACCTTTGGTGTAGTACTAAATGTATAACCGATATTCTGCGTGAATGATGTCAAGAAACGAACCTTAACGAATAATACCTCAACTTATGCCAACAGGAGCGAGTCAGCGCTAGAAAAGTTCTGTCAGACAAGACCTGACGTTTGTCCTAGCTCCAGGGACGAAGAATGACCTCGCTTAGATCAAGTCATTTATTCGTACTTACCGCTACTGAGATAACAATATAGCTGATTAATCCTTTCGGGTACAACACGAACGATTGGAGTATCTTATTCAAGCATTGGCAGTTATGTTGAAAAAACAGCACAGAAATCGGGAGTATTATAAACAATGCATGATCCATCAGATGATAGACTGAAATCAACAACTTTTCGTCCCTCGACTCCAAACAGACCACCTGCTGAGACAACCTGCACAACAACCGAAAACGACCGTCTCAAATACCATGAAGAAGGTCCATGAGATACGGGTCGAAAAGTCGGTACAGTCCATTATCAGGTAGATCAAGTGTAAGGCGTTGTTTATAACGAAACCGTTTTCGTGCTGTCTCTCAACACAGAACTTTTCACTAAGCACTTCGGAGATGCCTCCGTCGCGGATTCGGTAATATGAAAAAATATTCAAAGCTATTCACTAATGTTCGCTTCTAAAGCCAAGTTAACTACATTTTATTAACGAGTACTTTAGAGACCGCTGTAGTGTCAAGTCAGATCGACGGTCTACCACTGCATTCTCGCAAAAAAACAAAAACATGATATCACATTTGCATTCAATCACTAGTATCTTTGTTCATCAACACTGATTGATTATAAAAAACTGATCGAAGTATACCAATGCAAACACCTGACCGCTTTAAAAAACTCAAACGCCATCAAGTTAGAATGGCGGATTTTTTCAACTATTTAATCATATAAATGGGGCCCTGTTACCTCATGTAGATGAAACAAAACGAACATAACGCATTTCGTTGCTAATTTTCATACGCACTTTAGTTGTAAATGTTGGAGACCTAGAATTTAGCATTAAGCACCTTACCCTTAAATTCTGCTTGAACTACGGTTTGCCTGGGTCGTAGCAAAACGTAAAAAACTCGTCGACTGAACTACTAGCAGCAATCGAGTCTTAACCAGAGGATGCCTGAGATCATTGAGAGAGCAACTTCGCCATTTAAATTCTGTGACCTCAGACGATGACGGAACAGCTTTGGCACAGGGGTCAGTCGGTGACGATTACTAAGAGTTCTAACATCGCAGAAGGGTAGAAGGAACAGTTCTTTGCTCAATACAAACGCGGCAGATGTGATTACTTCGATTGCGAACTGCGCCCCATGTACTTACTAATAGCTACTTTAATATAGTCAGACTATTTATAATTAATTAGGATCTACAAAGCATATTAAAAAAAATCGACAAGCTTAACGTTTTCTGAGACCGCGAATCAGAATAAACGGAAAATCTAAACAAAGCAACCAAACAAAACGCGAACAAACAAAAGTTCACGCGCATCTAAAGACCACGAAAAGACGCTTCCAAGTGTAATAAAATACGTTTGCCGGTTACATGATGACCATCACTTCTTCATGAGGATTGCATTGTTATCAACAGTGCTTACTCCAAGCATGAAAAGCCCAGCGCCATTCATCCTCGGTTGTCGACTAACATTATTATTTCACGAAGCACATGAGCCATGCACCGAACGGCGTACTGTTTAACCGATTTGTAGGTACACTTACCATAGTGTCTTAGTTTATCTGCCTCTGAATATACAAAATCACCAAAAAGCATTAATTTATATACTAAGCGTTCTAGAGATTAACAAAATCAGTTTTTCACATTCTTACACTCAGCCTAAAAGTATACTGTCTCATAAACTAAATGCAATAATGACAGGAAACAATATCCAGAAAAGTAACTCAGAGAACAGTTTTGCCGCGTAGACATGGTTCGGATTTTCTCCTTTTCCCGAAAGGACTACGAGGAAATAAACTGTGTTTTTACTGTCGTAAATATGGTAACCAAAATTTTCTCATCGCCTTCTGGCAGCTGGAAGGTGTATTAGTACAACAACGACTGACTAAGATCGACCAAACGACGACGAAGAAATAAATCAGCAACGAAAATGCTAACCGTTCTGAACGGAGGAGGCATACAGCGCGATTCAATTTTAGCACGTCAGACAAGCCTCCATGAGAACGACACCACAAATCG